CTATTTGATATGAGTAAAAACTCCTGTTACGTCATCCAGACGTGTGACTGACCATCATTATTGCCACAAAATAACAAGGAAATGAAAGAGAGAAAAATGCAGGTCTGTCCAATTGTATAACCAATGTCGGTGTTTGAGGTTATACCGTACACCGTATCTGACGTCAAGTGGTTAATAGTTTCATTCAATTTTTTTAATTTCAACTTTACGTGACTCAGATTTAGGTTTGTGGTTGAGTTCCACCTGCAAACTACAACGACCAAAGTGGGCATGTAATTCACTGATTTAGAATCACCGTTCCCGTGATGTAGCCGTGGCAGATACACTTGAGCAACTCTTGAAGAAACTCAATGGCCTGAGGAAAACATCAACTGCAAATGCTGCACAGCCGGCAAGCTCATGCTTCGTCAGATCGCTTTGATTTACGCTTAATAAATTCTCCCATTTAGAGAGTCCGCTATAAGGCTATCTGTAAAAATAGTCGTAAATCTTAAACCTTGCGCTCCATTTCGGAAAGCCATTTTTCTATGCCTTTAACATGAAACACAACTAACCCAGTATTCTTTTTGTACATTTATAATCCTGACGACAAACAGTTTTTTATGTCTTAATTAATTTTGGCGAACGAGTCGGTTTTTTTCAAGGAAGGTGCCTAGTCGATTAAGTTGGAAGTACGTTTAAGAACACGCAAATCCTGTGGCTAAAATCATAAATTGCAACTAGCTAGTCGCACCTTCAACAACGTCAACCTCGGGGGCCTCGATCGTACAAGGAGTCTTTCACGGACGGGTGAGAACCCATCATATTGGATATGAAAAATAACTCACTGAGTACACATGCTTTCTGAAACAGTGTAAGGCAACACATTTTTTACCTCTCGCCACCAAGTTCAGAATTCATGTATGTATTCTTGATTAGGATCTCGACGATTCACAAACGTCATCAAAGTCACTGGGCAGTTTTGATGGTCTAGAAAGATTTACAAAGTACTTTTTGTAAAAGTTACTGATGACTAATTAGCCTGAGCAGGTTAGGAGAAACTTGACGTATCAGGAAGAATTACCAACATTTTTAGTCAGAAGTAACACTATCAAAAGTCTTGCCTTGTAATTGCGAATCACTTTCAGAAGAAGACGCATACTGTAGGCATTTAAGTTTAACATTTCAGTGACCTTAAAATGTTGAAACTTTTCCTCTTATCGAATGATTGATGTTGCTTATTCAAGCCAATGTCTTCGAGGTTGAATAATTTTTTCAAATATACATTAGGCAAGGACATCATTAAAATCTCTAAACTAAATCTACGAAAAACCAACCACAAAATTTATCTGCTAAATTATCACACGTGTTAATACCTTAAGGATTTTGAGAAAATTTGAAAGACAAATTGAGGAATGACACAATATTACTTGCCTTCTTTAATAAATCAGCCAACGTTTAATTTATTTGGCGTAGGAGAGAATGGTTCATTTCCCGCAAACTCAAAGTGCGAGAATTCCTTCAATTTAAACGTGCATAACACTTGGTAATTTCAGCATGTGCGCAAATGCTTGTCCTTTTTAACAGACTTCTGCGCATCCCACAAGGTATCTAGTTGCATTGTGGGATAACGAAACCACAAATTGCATAGCAAAACTGTTCAAGGCTTCTCAATTATAAATTTATTTCCTAAGTATGCTCTAAAGTGCCTGAAATGTAGCTTTATTAATTCAATTGAAACAAAGCAATCATTAAATTGAACTTCGCACTGTTTAATTTTCCGCATACAGATCATGGTTGTATCCGGGTATTTATTATTTCTGCACCTATTCGGTACCAAATAATAATAGACTAATTGATTCAGATTTTCAATTAGGAGTCAAATGAAGTGTTAGGTAAAACGAGACAACCTGTATAATCTAGGGGACTAAATAGCAAAACATGTCAATGTACGAGCGGTGGACGGGAAACCTGAAATTTAATTGTTGAATCTGCTCATCAACTTTATCTTTGGCTGGAAACCAGCTAGGAGTGAAAGCATGTGTTTTCAATAATTTACTTGACATGTTTTGTAGCAATCTGATTGCGCATAACCAATAGTGAAATTTTGCGTATTCATCACTCTAGTTTAATTGCACTCGCCGTGTGCAGACTCTTCACCAGAGTTTGTCATCTTTGGGAAGGCAGCTTTAATTGCTTGCAAACAGTGGATCATAATACGTTCGAAGCCTATGGCATCTGATGAATAAATGCCATGGAATTCAGCAAAACCCAAATCTACTTTTAATTTAACCTTTGAGCCAACACAGAAGGGCGTCTTCAGGTCTATCATACTGCGACAAGTTTACCGGCACGCTACACTAGTTTTAACAATTGTTCTCACCAACATTCTTGTTTCTGCATAAAACCACAAACAATGCACCTGTAGTTCTACAAGTGTGTCAGCGGAAGCTGCTGGGGCCTTTTCCGACCCCCTGTTTCAGCTCCTAGCACACAAAAATTTACAATGTGACGTGAATTTAAATGCACATATCGTGCTGCTAAGATCTAAAAAAACATTTGTATTGTTGTATGTTGCGATAGCAACATATAGCGGGCTATTGTGTCGTAAAAGTAACTTTTCCCCATCAAAGCAGTGATTTCTTTTTGTTGAATATTTTCTGACTCACACTAAAATATTGGCAAAACAAGGCAACTTCTAAAACCGCTGTTGAATACACTTCAAGCCACGTGGTTCAGCGAATTCAGGAATTGTTTTAAAAGACGCGATTTGTGTGAATTAATCTTCAGGAATACCCAATCAAACGGCACCCAACTATTTACAATTATTAAAAAATTGTACCCGGAAACCATCAAAATATTACAAAAAGGTGAACTGAATTTTTATCTTCTAGAAAAGTAAAATCAACGGCTTTAATTGATTTTCTTTCCTAATGCAATGTTCTACCCTTTTTCCTGTTTCGGTAAAATTTTCTATTTTCCATATAAGTAATCGGACCTACTGGGGAAATTCCATTAATGCCGTGTTCTTCTACAAGGTGTTAGGTTTTCGCGTAAGTTGTAAATGCAGCTAAGTAATACTGGCACAACGGATTTTATTTAGCACCAGATTTTTCAACTCGATGCTTAACCCAAATACATCTCATTATTAAATATTTCTTCTACGGATTTCTACATGTTAACATTAATATGACAAAGTTACTCGGCAGCAGCAATAAAACCAGAGCAGCATTTCCTATATCTGTCGTGGTGAAAAGAAAAGTATCCATAATCGCACGAAACGCATAATAACCCAGAAATTCATATACTGGGGCATCATAATATAATAATAATAACATACATATTGAGCAACATCACATATTTCGCAGCATCGGAGAATATCGTATCTCCCAAAGTTTTCGACCGCTTTAACAAGCACAGGTTCGAGAATATCCTTCTGAGGACACAGTTTTACAACGTGAGAAAAGCCCTGCTTCGCTCAGATACTTTGTGGAATTCCAAGGGCAAAGGGAACTTTTTTACAAGTTGTTTTTGTTTATTCTAAAAATAGATTTCTCTGACCTTTTGTCGCCTTCTTGAGGTTGCATTACCTGATATCAGAGGGCCCTTCAATGATCATCGGCAGTAAAATGCTGAGGTTTCTCGCTGCCACAATCAGGATCACCGCACATTCTGCGACATCAAGATGCTTTGCTGTGAGTGCCGTTGTGGTACTCGATTTGCATGCAGCTAAACAGTGGTATCTATTTGGTCTTAGAACTTAGCTCATAGTTACTTTGAATTAAACCAGCAATTCACCATGAATGGCGCTAAACTGTCGTTTCAAACGCTGTGCATGGAATTCTACGACGAAAACTCAGTTTGTTCAATTAATAACATAGCCTACTTATGAAATACCTACTCACTGTTAATTTTTTCGGTTCACTTTTTAAGCGAATCACGATTTGAAGGTTACTTTTCTCCAACAAAATGAAGCACACTAAGATTGTAACGTCTCAGTCGAATAATCTTGCGCTATTATTTTTGCTAGTTTTTAATTTCCTAACCAGCTCCTGTACTAAATTAAGGATATTTCTGTCCACATGTACCAATAAAGTGTCTATAGACCAGGTGCGTACAAGTAACTGATCAAATGTTTAGGGAGCATTTACCAATTATCATGTACTACCCCGCCACTTTTTGTCCTCACTGAAGTAAAAAGTAAAGCATTTGCGACACGTTACGTGTACGTTTGTAAGATGCCATGGAAACGCATACCCCCAGCAAATAACATAATTGACAAGTGCATTGTTTGGAACAAGCATGCTGTTTTACCCAGTCTAAGGTAAAGATTCCCCTCTTTTGGCACCAGCTTAAATCCCTGGCTAGGAAACTTGGATGTGGAAAATTCTGCATGTTAAGGTATGACTGATTAATGCTACTCTCGGTGTCGAAGACTAGATTCATGGTCCATAATTATTATGATAGATATGTCTCTTACTAGGGGTAAAAATCGAGTTAGAATCTGTTGACTTTTTCGTTTTCCTATCATCCCAGCCTCCACATTCTTAGCACTCATAGCAGACCAGTTACTTCGAAAATTGTTAATTTCGCCATGGTTAGTTAGCCTTATCAAATTCATGCCATTGCTACAGTAAATGCTGATGAGAGGACTGAACCGTGCAGTGGCAAGTGAACTCGATGGCTGACAAAATTTGATTGCAGAGTAGCTTATTTTACTAAGTAAGACCAACCATGGTGTATGGCAACTTCGGAAAATTGCAACTACGCCCCTGTTTTTGGATCACAAACGAACATTTGAACCCAGAAAGTATTTACAAAATGTCTCTAGCAATTGTACAAGAGAGAAAAGGCTGTGCCGCTTATTGCTGCAGAAAATATAAAAAGTGGACTGAACAGTGAGGAGGCCTGGTTTCAATAGGGGCTAGGGGTTGAATCCGTCGATCGGGAGTGGTCTTCTGCACAAAAAAGCCTCACAACCACATGACTAGCCGTCACCAACGTGTCACCACCAAGTGCCTTCACGAAAAAGGGGAATAAAACTGACCAACATTTGCGTCCTCTCTTCTACCGTCTGTCACTAGATCCTCCTGCTTCGATGAGGTATCGCTCCTTGACTGACAGTCCCAAGCAATTGGAGGAAGGACCAAAATCTCATTCTGTTGCTGTTTCATGGCAGAGACATTCCTGAATATGTTTTTCTCTAGTGTGTTCTTGCTCGAGGAAGTGACCGATCGATCTTTTGGCTGTGGTCCTAATGCATGCATATTTTGAGCGTAGTACGCAAGCTGGGGTTCAGACCGTAAGTAGCTCTCACAGCCAGGGACCAAATTTGGTTTGAGAATCACCGAAGTCATGGGAACTAAGGAGGAATAGGCGGTTCCATTGTCATTGCCTTCACCTCCTGGTCTCAAGGTGTCTGCTTTTGCCTTGTAATAAATGTTCCCAGTGCTATCAGATGAGGAAATTACAGTAGGGAAGTGGTTCTTTAAATGCTCACTTTCGGTAAGCAACTGAGGTGGGGAGGAAACGCCGATGATGGAACCGTCACTAGTACATAACCATCGTTCCGGTTTTTTTGATGCGGGAACTCGAATTTCTTTCATACATGTGCTTCCGCTCATGTTTACATGATTAGCAAACAGTAAGGAGTCTCGGTTGCCATTAACTTGAGCTAAACGAGTTTGTTTCTTCCAGTAACGGAAGTAAACTACGAGACCTAATGTTGCGATTAAAAGGAGGAATACCAAGCCTAGTGCTAGCAGGATGATTAAATCACTTGCAACTCGCTGTCCTTGCCTGGGGCGAATATCATGAGATCGCTTTCGACTACTGGTTCTGTCGCTGAGAATGTGGGTCGAGTCTTTTGGAGGTGGGCGATCAGTATTTGCTGCGGGTCTGGTGCTTGGATTGATGGCGGGTGCAGGGTTTTCACGAAGCGGTGATCGGGGGGAAGAGTTGTCCACAAGAACAAAAAATGTTATCGAGCTGGACCGAGGGGGAACACCTCCATCGGTGACTTGAACTTTAAAAATGTGGACACCTTTATCCTCCGATTTCATGTCGCGGGAAAGAAAAACTATTCCGGTTGTTGGCTCAATGTCCAGAAAGTCGGAAACCCTGAACGAACCTGCCTCTCCCTCCTCCTTTGTGAAATTGCTTGTACTACTTTGGTTGATCATTCGAGCTTCTATCGCACTCTTCACAAGTTCAAAGATGTGTGGATTTTCTGAGGGGTCCTTGTCATTCGCGTTGATTGTAAGGAGTTCAAAGTTCTTCTTCTCGTGACATGAAAGGTAAAAAGTTTTGTTTTGTTTCTGTGGAAAAATTATTACAGGATCATTGTCATTTTCATTTTCAACAAAAACTTCCACTGTAGCCGTAGCCGTTGCCGTACCTATTCTAGATCTGCCATATCCACTTGGTCCGTCTGTAGCTAGAAGAGTAAACCTAAAGGCATGTTCAGCTTCTCGGTCTAATGGTCTGGTTGTATTCAGAATGAACAGTGTCATGGAATAGGGTTTGTGTTCATTATCTGCTCCGGAAGGACTTTGCCAAATGGTAAATGGGAGGGGACCGTGGGGCTGCATTCCGAAACCCAGTTTTATTTCCCCTTCATCCTTGTCTGTCACCAAGATTTCTCCTACAGCGTAGCCAGCAGGCAAGTTTTCCATCACATGAAACTGGTATTCCTGTCGCTGAAAAACAGGGCCATTATCATTTTCATCACGAATGTAAATTTTGATCTCTTGTGTTGCGGACTTGGGAGGTACACCGTTGTCGGAAACTTTAACCTTTAGGGTTACACAAGAAAGAGGAGGTTCAAAGGCTTCCCGATCTATTTCAATTCGTGTTGTGATATCGCCAGTCTTCTCATTTATCTGAAAAAAATTAAACGGATTTACTGTGTCATCAGGTTGCTCGGTTTTCTCAATACTGTAACTCAGACGACCGTTTTCGCCTTCGTCCAGGTCTGAGGCGTTCACCCGAGTGACCAAGCTCCCAACAGGAGCATTTTCGAACACAAAAGGCCACATATCAGTTTCTGATGACTCTAGACCATAAAGGTAATCTGGAGGTTGCCTTAAAATTATTTTGGGTGCATTATCATTTTCGTCTCGAACTCTAATGTTAACGAATGTACTGGAAGTCCGCGGAGGCTGACCCGCATCAGTGCAGATAATTTTCACTTGACGATAAGCTCCGCCGTTTTCAGTGTCTTCACGGTCTAGGGCTTCCCTCGTCAACAACCTATATTGTACGCGTCCAATTTCCTGACGAATCTCATCCAATTGAAATTGTGAAGAATTTTCGGCTGCTGTCGGTTTGGACCATAATCCAGCTTTTATAGAACTCGGATTCACCACAGGTTGCTGGATACAGTTTACTTGCCCACTCAGTCCAGCATCTCTATCCGTGGCCTGAATGCTCGCTATGAATTGGGGTGGTGGAGCGTTCTCCTCGACCTCTGCATACTTCGTCATGAGAGGTGATTTACTAGGCCCATTGGAGATAAAATCCACTTCAATTGCTGGCGTCTCGTCATTTGTATCGATCACTGTGATCACCACCTGAGCCGTGGCAGTGTGCAGGGTAGATGGGGACTGAACGGGCTGACTTTGAGTTGGGTTCCCCCGCAAACTTTCCTCTTTTACATCAGTTGCTGTCACACGAAAGGAAAACTCCGTCTGTAATTCGTAGTCAAGAGGCTTCCGCAGAAACAAGTAGCCACTGACCGAATCCAATTTAAAGTACTCTCGTACCTGCTTACTTGTCGCAGGAGCAAAATAGTAGTGGATTTTTGAATTGGCAGGGCCGTCCAAATCATCGGCTTCTAACTTCAGGATAGGGTCTTTGATCCACTTGCTCTCAGGAACTGTGGCCGTGTACGTGACCATCCAATCGCTTAGCTGCACATTGGTCGGCACTCCAGAGTAGGATTTTTCCCGTGGTCGAAAGACCGGTCCATTGTCGTTTATATCCTCCACGTATATAAAGACATGCAAAATGTCCTTTCTATTACCAGTGGGAGTGATTTCGTTTGCCTCCAAACCGTCAAGCGCTCGAATTTTGAATGTATAATTTTTCCTTTTTTCATGGTCTAGAGGCTTTTGTAATTTCAGGTAGAGACCGGTTATCTTGTTAGTAGAAGATCCCATTTTCGGACGCATGGACATTTCTTCTCCTGAGCCGCTGGTTTCGACTACAAGTGACCACTCAGGCGGCAGGCCTGGCTCAGCTGTGTAAGCACTCACAGAGTACTGACTTGTGTCCGGGTCGCGAGCTAGGGGGAGGGGAAACTTTGTGCCAATTACGGCAGATTCTGGTACTGTAAAATTCACAAATCCTGGATCGGGAAATTCTGGTACGTGATCGTTCCTGTCGACAAGTAGAACTTTAACGTCAATGAAAGAAGGCAATCCTTGAGTGGTCTGGGGCTGTGCAGCCACCTGAAAGTCTAGAACACAGTCAGCCTCATCAAACTGGGGACAAAGTGCCTCTCGATCAATGAGTCTGATGGTATATAGTTCCCCGGACTCCGGGTCTATGCGAAAAAGTTGATCGGGTTCCTTATGGGGTCGAAATATTTGGAATCGCCATTGGTGTCGGTTGGTGATTGAGCCAGAAGAAGGGAATGTGTCGGTGTTTTCCACAGGGGCTTGAACCCTACCAACCAAGTGGTTTGAGGGAGTGTCATCGGTTAGAAGGAATTCGTTAGGTGAGTTACCAAAGATGCGAAAATCCGTCGGAACAACTGGGGCGTTGAGGAGAAGGAAGGAGGTGACAAGCGTCATCACTGGTAACTGCTGATGCATTGCACCGAAGAATAAACTAAATGAACGGAAGAAAAATGCACTTAGTTCTTATTGCACCACTTAGCTTCAATGCGAAAAATCCACCCGTCTGCCGATAGGCAGTAGGCGCAACAGTCCCAAGTACCGCATAACCCGTTTTGTGTGCGTTGGGATTTCTTCGGAAAGAATTAATAGGTAAAGCATACACTAATCCCATTTTTAACACAATTGAACACAAACCGAACAATTTTATCAATTTAGTTCTACCTGCATACCTTGAAGTAATTTGTTTCAACGTTTATCGTCAAAATACTTCATGACACGCATTTTCGGCCATCTCTTGAAACTACTTAAGGTGATGGTAGGAGTAACAAGGACCAGATTCAATAACACCAATGAGGATTTGTCCAATCTTTTTTAGAAGAAGTGCTGGTGTAACATTCAGTTTGTTGCTTTGCGTTCTTCCGAAATCAGTAAAACCAGATTTACTTAAAAAGCACCGCATTTATTACATGCTCCAATCCTTTGAAGACTAATCAAATTCTGAATAGGTGGGTATCTATTAAACTGAAAGACTTAACCTCTAATCTGTCTAGACATTTCATTTACTTGGGATTTCTTTCAAAGTGCGCTATTGTCAGTTAGAGGCAATCTGCATCGGAAATAAAGCCAGACTTAGGCAAAAGGACGACAGCAGGACATCTCTGGCGACTAGAACATTCCTGCTAGTCTATGACAGAACTTACTATTCTAGGCCTTCCCATCACTTTTAACCATCCCCACCCTTGCTACTTGGGATGAGGTTGAATTACTTGCTGTGCGTGTAGGTGGCCATTCGGCCACACACTGCACCCCAAAGTACATAAATGACTTGTTTAAGTGGGACTTGGTACACTTAAATTTACATTTTGTAACATGAAATTTTCACACTCTTAACTAATAAAAAATTATAGTCGACAGTTGAATAAACTTTCAAATAAAATATCACTGCTGCTTGTTTAACACGTTTACACTTTTACTGAATCTACATCGCACAAATTTTATGGTCCTTACATGCTTATAAAGTTGCATGAGTTTAGCAGTGTAATTTAGCTAACTTCATTTCCTCAAAATTTGTCCGTTTTAGTAATTTGTAGTGGGTAGCACATGCTTGCAGGGTACAAAGTACATTTTCGGCTACCGTAACTGTTGTAACTATCTAAATGTTTAAACGGTGACACAAAATGCTGCACATCTAACTGCAGGATTTCTGGTTACGTAGTACTGAGAAATATTGGTATTGGTCACGTCACATAAGTGACAGGCTAGTGTACCTGAGAACATCACATCAGCTGAGGCTTTGTGGTGATCATTAAAATCTTGATCTTTGGAAGGTATTAAGTGCAAAAGTTGGTACTTACTGGCCTTTTTACCGAATGTTAAGGATTTAGCAAACAATTAGAAAAACAGGTTTCAAAAATGAATGTGGTAAAAAATTTCCATGTGAGTGGAATTGTATCCTAATTTCGAGACACAATTTCAGTAAATAATTGTGCAAAAGAAGATTCTTTTAAACCATTACTGAAGATCTGTTAGAGACTCTGTTATTACTGTAAAGTCATTTTGTAGACTAGGTAAACACTTGTGACTGGGCCATTAAAATACACTCACTAAAGAAAATTTTGTGACTGACCTTCTTAGCTGCAAGAAAACTTATTTAAAAGCATGCACAGGATCTGAATAGTAAGATAGTGAAAGAGTACCAGCGTTGACCACTAATTTTAGGAATTATGACTTATTATTAACGCAGAAACCTCTTTCAATTGAAAAGTGGTAAGTCAACTCTGAAAATGCTGAGCATTCACGCCATTTTGGCACTAGAAAAATCTGCAGATTTAACTTTCTCAAGGTGGAATCTACTTCCCTGCGGTAAAAAAGTGCCAAGAAGCTACCATATACTTCATTCTCATTTACTCGCCTTTGCTTTACACCTGGTCAAGCTTCGGCTAAACAAATTGTGCATTTTGGTCTGATTTTGTCCTTCCCATAACTGTCAGGTACTAAGTTGCGTGGACAATCTGTTAATTATGATGGTCCTGCTTACTAGGGAGGGCATGTTACTTCACCTGCTAGGGGAAGCACGCTCTGTAGATGATTCACACATTATCAAAGATGTTGATTTATTTGGACATTTAATAATCTGTGGTTTGTATTGAATAAACTATCGAAGTTGAGAGGGCGAAATCATGGCAACAAATACCGTCTGAGTTGTAAGTGGGACGTCATTCTATTCATTACATCTTTTTTGCTACCATGGAAACTAACAGTTGCATTGCACTTTTCAAACATTCTTCTCGTAGAACTTTAGCAGGGTCACTGAAATGGAAGTACTTGGAGGTACATATGCCAAAGTCATGGCAACTGGTCTTGTGTGTACAATTGCAGACAGCTCGTTCTAAAATATCATGGGTCTGAAGTGTGTGTATGCGTCTGTGAGGGCGCAGGAAGCGAAAACACTCAAACAAGGTGGCGCAGAGACTTGGAGACTCTAAATGGCTGTTGGCAACGCCATCAATGTAGTGAGCAATCAGTCTGGAAAAGTGCGTACTGCATGGAACACAATTTCAACTGGCTTCGCTATCTGCTTAAAGGTGAATGGAAATCTGAGATGACCTAGTGCCCCTATTTCCACCCTCAAGGCATCATAGTTAGACACATCTGAGCTTCAAAATTGTAGATCCGCGAATTTGATAAAGACCAGAGGGGACAAATGCGTCATCAAAAGGACAGTGAACTTTGAATAAAACTGTGCCCTCACGCGCACACCTTTACTTTCCAGTTATTTTCTTGTTCATGTCAAATCATAAGCATATATTTAACAACATTTTAATCTTAGCACTTTACACATTTAGACTATTAGTTGGATCAGGTTAGATTTAAACTTCAAAAAAAATTTGACTTGTGAATGATTTTAGTCTAGCGACAAATTAAAAATTAATTAAAATTACTACAAATATACACAAAAGAGCACTGACTAAGTGTAAATCCCGGAAAATTATTAAACATCCATGTAAATGCTTTACTTGAAAAGCTATGCTGTGAAAAGCAGCAGACTACAGCCATGAATTCCAGGTAATCACAAGTAAACAGTATAAATGGTAGTACAGATTTAAAGGGGACATGTTAACATAGCAACTCCCTATCATTAAAAGAGCAAATTTAATACGAAATCATAACCCACAAGTGATGTAATAATTGCACATACAATAGATCTAATCACAAAGATATCATAGAAATAACAGTTCGTAAAATTAGGGTATTTGCCAGTTGCATATGCATGTGTTATGCGAGTCTTGTATCATGCACTAAGTAGGGAAGGCTATTGAGTCGAAATACGTGAGGCGTGATTACACTAGTGACTGCGACAGATAAAAAACCAAGCATTTCTTAACGGTTTTCAATATTTCTGCGAAGAAAATACACAGAGGTTTGTACACAAACAATCTCAACCCGACCACGCAGTACTTCATTCGGTGAAGGCTGCAGATTTAACCTCCAAGCCGTAGTTCTATCCTGATGGTATCTGCTGCCGTTGTTCCCACCCCCTCTCAGGATAGGGTGGGGCGGGCTGCACGTTCGCGCCTTTGTGGGAGAACCAGAGAAGGCGAAAGCGATTTTATCAGACCCCGATGACACGCTTTTGTGGCTGCAGCCCACACGCTCCTCACCCAACAATCAGATTGTCCAGTCTCGTTGTGCGCGAGTGCGCGTTTGCGCATGTGAACCTGGCACTGCAGGCACTAGTGCGTGGTACTATACCCGATTTATCAGGTTGAAAATTAACCACATTGCAGCTTCTACTAATGTTCTTGCATCTCCGATTTCGCAATGCAAGTTAAGCCCCGCGAAACCGCGTCTTGAGTTGCCAGAACAAACGTGAGGAAAACTTATGGGGTTCGCGTCAATGCATTTCGGTTAGGGCAATTAAGTGCATTACACTGCTCATTGGACGCGTTCCCGATTCATGCGCACTTGCCTATTCAACAATGCAAACACGCAGCTGCAACTGTGCAGCTGCAGATTGCGCTGATTTCAAACACCTCGTAATGATACCGTTCAGCAGCGACTTGTGAAGCACCGTCTCATCAGAACACGCATTGTCAGGCACCTTTTTCTCAAGACAACACAGAAAACACTTTTCGTACTGGTCAATAAAGCACATTCACGCTAATCCCAGTACTAGCATTGCTTTGCAACCAAGCATTACGTGTCTCAGGCCCAAAAAGTCGAGCATACTAAGAGCATTAATTGTGAAGACACAATCGGTGCTTAGACGAATGAAACGTGGAATTCAGAGAAAATGCACTAGCCCTTAATCGCCGTGTCGATGACAATTTCATCGGGAAGGACCACATGCAATTCGACTTGCCAGGATATCCCTCTCACCGCTAAGCACATTTGGTGTTCATTACGGGCACATTGGATGCATTCTGCTTAAGGCTCAGGTGTCAATTCGAAGCATGGAAGTGCACACGTTGGGTTTATTCAGGGGCAAGAGCCTGATTTGGCGTCCGTGAGTAGAATTCGCTGTTGGTGCTGCCTTATAACTATTGTGTCAGGATTTTCCGTCTAATCGTAATTTGTGAATTCTCAGACCTCCGTCTGTCCGTCCTTTAATCTCGACTATCAACACTGCCTTTCTCACTTCTCCCAAAACTCCCGTTTCCACAATGACACCCCCCAAGTGCACATCCTACTGGACACTCCTCCAATTCCTAATTACCTGCCAGCTCTGTAGACGGCACCAGTGGTCTTGCAAACTGACATGCCAAACACACTCCGAAACACAGTCAAGTCGTCAACACAACAGTTCATTCAACAATTCCCCACCGATTCACAACAGCGAAAACACGCGAGCCGGAACACATAGAATGCGATTTTTGCTGTGATCAGGTAGCAGGTTGGCACAACAGCGCAGGCGTTGGTTTACGCTAGCGTTTGCCAAGTTGTCGTTGGGCTCGAACAAACCAGCCCGTGTTTGCAACAGGAGTTTTCTCCAAACCAAACAAGGCAACAGGTGGCGTCGGATAATTCCAGCACAATAGCACCTCCACTTGCATCGATGTCGATCTGCACTCCCACTAAATATTCTCATGGTTGATCTTGATCGATACCAGTTGTTTAGTGCAGCACCGATGAAATTCCGACACATTGGCTTCAAGTAGGCCATTTTCCTTCCATTCTGTGCACTCTTCGATGACGATGATGGTAGCGGTGTGGTGATGGTGACTGCGTGAGCATTTGCCTACACGTCTATCGCATTTCCTTGTTTTGCCACACAATGAGTACTGACAGTGTCACTTATGAGACAACCTAGTCGAATAACGAAAAATGGGTGGCAAGTATTTGCACTGATGATGGTAATGCGCCCTTTTGCACTGCCAACAGCAACTTTGAGCGGTAGAGACAAATCTGTGATGCTAAATTGCCCTGCTTCGCGTACCAATTTATCTACGTTTTGCTGGCAGACAATAAAACATTGCAAATATGAAGAAATGTCTAGGAATGTGCTATTATTGTAGGTTTTCCTCCAATTTTAATAGAAAATTTGTAGAAATAAAAGGAACGTTGGTATGAATCAGCGTTTCATCTATTCAAAAATCTTAGTTTACAACCTCTAACCTTTTGTTTTTTGTTTCTATACTAAAACGGACTTTTATTGTAAAAGGTGTTCGGTTGTATCTCCGCCCATTTCCCTAAAATGCTTTTAGCATACTTTACTGTGGTTTCTTATTATTTATTTGATGTTTTCCTATGATTCAAATTTTTTTCATATCCCTTTTATTTCTGTTAGCAAAGAATCGAATAGACCAAATAATCAATTTCTTGGTACACAATTAATCTTACCCCAAATAAGGTCGCATGTCTACCATATTTAGGGGACATGGGATGAAGAAGCAGTACTTTCCCTGTAATAAGGCTACTCCCCATGGGGTATGCCCTGTAATTATGCGAATGGTATCCCCTTTTCAACCAAGAAACTCGCACGCACAATCTTGATGGATGCAATCTTAAAAACACGCACTTTAATGAACCAGGAACCAACAAATATTCTCAAGAACGAAGTCAAAGTATGAGGAAGCGATTAGCTTAGGCTTCTCCTTTGTAATTCTCGGGTTATTCAGTTTACAGAAAAGTTGAGATGTCCCAGCATAAATTCGTACCACTCAAAATGATAGCCGAGTTTCAAATTAGCGCGAATTAAGCCATCCTGTCTCTGCAGACAAAATTGTCTTAGTAACCATTCTTGTACCTAAGACAGTCACAGTTATCCCACACTTACTCAACTTTTAGCCCTATCAATAGTTAAAGTTTTAAATAAAGAAATAATTTCCTAAGTAGGTGAAACCGCTTCATAACGAACACACCCAAGGGAGATGCGGCATCTTTAGAAATACTGCCCTGTATCATCAGTTGTGTGCATTCATCATTCACTTGGACTCTCCTTAAATTCGAAACCAGAATACTCGCAAGAAACACTTACACAGAACTAGTTGGAGACAAGTAAGTTTGGTAAACTTCACTTTTGGCAAAATAGTTAGCTTGATCGGACATAATTCGAAATGCCAAACCCCTTCTTTAGGATTGTACCTATTTGCATTTCCACAACAATATTAGCATCCATGTTTTAGCACAACAGAATTAATCAGCCATTAAGTTGAGTGGTAGAATGCAATTTAATAGCGTAGTTCAAAGAGTTGTGCAAGAAAGGGAGGTGACGAATTTTTTTGACACAGAGAAAAATTGGGGTAGTTTAAGTGAGGCAGATAAGAAATCTCCGAGACAATGACTTAGGCCTGATTAGTACTAACCCAACAGAGTCATTTAATACTGGCGAAAACCGCCAAAACACGTGCCTGTTTGGGTCTAATGCCATAAAAGTTAAACATAAACACACTTATTTCCACTCCAGTTTTGTTTTCTGGTTATTAGGTTTCCGTTGGCGCCCAAATTAGAAAAATATGAACGTATGGTGCATAGATAGAGCCTTGTTGTGAATCTCGTTGATTCACACTCGTTTATCCGGTCACTCCAGCCTCCAACACAGGATCCCCCTTTTCGCAGCATGTCGCCAGCCTCGCGGACCCTCAACCCGCCCCTCATTAGCGCGAACAACTATCCTAACATATCCTCACACCTAGGTCTCGATGTTAGCACATCTATGACTCACTTCAGAGGCATAAATACACACTCGCAAACGACACACAAGACACAACGACATCAGCTTGGTTGAGCTCTGAAGTAAACGGTTGTGTCCACGTCCTTTCTGGTCTTCTTCTTCGTCGCGGGTATCAGGGTAGAGTAATCGGACCTGATCAAACTCATTGGCCCCCGGCGTGGTTCAAGGCCACTACCCGCGTTTCATCCATTCAACGCCTTTCTTGATGCCATACCCCAAAATCATATTGCGCATGAACTATCGCCCTTCTTTTTTTCTAATCATAACCATGCTATGCATTGCAAGACTTCTGAGTTATGCATGTAAATTCGCACCAAATAAATGACGAGAAATTGTCCAATGCAATTAGATGTCGTACTAAAACTAACTAAATAACCCTTCAATTATCAATTAGTTCATTTTGCAAAAAATAAAACCAATTATCACTGACCGTCGGGCATTACACCCATAACGAGTTTTGGGTAGGCCCAGTCGCTGCAACCGTGACGATTCCCACAAATTTCCAAGCACTCTTCTGCAGTGCCGCATCCAATAGTATCTAAAGGTTATGAAAAGTCATTACTTGTGGTTCACTAAAAGTAATCAAATTCACAAAAATCAGGCCATTTCCATTCAAACTTGGGACTCGGAAATCGTTGGTCTAAATGATAAACAATCATGAACCCCTTTACTGACGTTTATCTCATTATGGCTTGTAGAGTAGTCTGGACCTATCACCAGATACAAATGCTTGGGTTCTTGTGAATACTCTTTTATTTGTGCTACACAGTCCAGACGTTTCAGGAGTTCATGGATTTCGATTTCGAATTTATCTTTACCAATAGTGACATCTTCGGTATTTGATATTTGGTAAATTTACGACAAGTTCATTGGCGGGTTAAAGGCCCGTATTTCAACTCTAAACCCTTGAAATGAGTTGTTGGCATGACAATTCCCGGCCATCAACTAGATACAGTCGGTATCAAGCCACAACACTTTCGACGCATATCGTGCAGAAATCACCCCGATGTTTTCTTTTTGCTTCCTGTCGCCATTTTGCTACCGTTGATAGGCTAATTTAAAAGTACCAAAAAACCATCTGTAATGCGGTTTAACGTAATTCCAGATGATCGAGATTGCAACTTCAAATGTCACAACCTTTTGCGATTGTGAACAGACACTTCCCAAACTACTATTGACACACTCAACACCGAAACTTCAAACTGTCTACACCACTATCTCAAGTGGACTTTTTTCAATTTATCTTGCTGTGATATAGTTCCTCCACCTGAGTTCACCATTTTTACTGATCACGCCCCCCTGGTTCCTGCCTTTCGTGCGCCATCTGATCGGCACCCCTATTGAGAGTCAGGACATTTCGACTTTCACGATCCACAAAGTGTATGTCACACCAATAGAAAGTTGAATTTCATTGCGAAGACTGTTTGGGGCACTCATTCACAGTTTGCCACTTTTTGGAATTACTTCTGAACAGTCAATCGCATTGCAGGCAAATGATGTCACAATTCCGATCTGAATCTGAATGAGCTACCCCTTCCCTACTTTTCCACAAATAACCATGTTTAATGGCAACAGGCAGTCCTCGTCCCAATGTAGAATGATATTATTCAAGCATTTTTACTCGCTTTTAAATTCTGGTATTCGCAACCATATGTGTTTGGTAACTAAAAGTGCTGTCTAGTTTAGTCCAGAAATGAACTAAACTCTACCTATAATATCAACACAGCAAAGTCCATTGGCACAACATATTCTCCTGGATGTTTAGCACATTCTGACTTGCGTTTTTGACGTGTACGTATAGATCTAGTTAGATCACATTTGCAGTCCCGTGGGTCTATTCACAAATCAACTTGTGTGAATTTTTGATCCGTTGACCTCTGACGTGCATCTGCCTCGACGAGAGTGTAAGTGGCATGGCTACTTGCGCACTTTTCAAACCCTAGGGTCCTTTTTAGGTGTTTAATTAGAAATTTTGACTCAGCCATGTCCCTGGATTTGAACGTGTTCGTACAATAGCGAACCAATCAGCAGCCAGTGAACGGGTCGAGCATTTCTGCTGCCAGTTAAGTGTCCATTTTATGAAAACTGCATCCATTACAAATGATCTAGTTGATTATTCGTGATGCCATAAAGGAGGGCATCAATTCCACTGCAGCACGAATTTTTAATAACTTTGAGACTGGGTTGTTACATCAACTTGACGAGCACTCACATACTAGTAATGCGGATTGTTGTGGCGAGATGATACGGTTTTCAATCGAACTAATTGACCTATGAACATCAGTTAATTGTATTTGTTTACATTCAGTCAGGTAAATGATGCGCTTAATTTAAATTGAACCTTCGCCGCAAAATTTAGCAGGGACAAACTCATTCACCCGACCCCTCATCACTTATAATGTCTAGCTCGTTTTTATTAACAATAAACGCATTTCAAATCAACATTATTCCCGTAAACATTATTACACTGGCATTTTCGCTCAGTTAACTAGACCAGCTTAGCTTGGTGAGTAGTTCAACTAGCACCTTATCATATTTTAAACGCATCAAATGTTTAGACAGTGGAGACAATTAACCAGACTACAAACGACACACAATGTGAGGTTTTTCGGTGTTAATTAGAATTTATTATGGGAACACGTGAACCATCAGCCAGGCGTAAGCAGAAGACAGTAGCGTGTTACGAGGTCAATTACGGCAAAGGAAACTCAGTAACTCTTAGAAGGGTAAGGATGTTTTTAGTGCCCATGTCGTGTTTGACTGAGGTTGAAGAGTTGTCAACCACCAAATGATTCGACTACGATAATGCGATTCGTAAAACAACTCCTTGAGAATGAATTTTAGGAAACCTCCTCAGAGGGTACTTGAGGTGTCCCCTAGGCTCCATCAAAGAAAACCGCCATCTTTCTTTTGAAGTTGTCACTTAGAGAAAGTACATTGACCTTCTAGAACACTAAATGCAATTGCCTCACTTCATATCTGAGAAATGAGTTGATCAAATATGATTTCTTAATGTGGCAAAGATACTTCCGTTTCGTGAGCAAACACGCTACCAGAATCATACAAAACTGAAAAACGACCACTCAATTTTTCAATTACCTTACAGCTAAATAACAAACGATGGTCGAACATTGCCCATCAAGGGAAATTTCATCTTTAGATCTGTGCTTGGACAGGCTGAATGCATACGGTTCGCTAATAAATTTGTGAATACTCAAAGATCACAGACACTTCGCTATTACCTCGGTTTTCCCGGTATTCGAAATAGCAACATCTACCAAATACTGTTTTCTAACAGCTGAGACAAACTGATATTTGCAGTAGGCTACTTATATAGAACCCTTTCAGAAGTTAGGATTGAATAATCAGGAGAGCGTAAACACCGGTGCCTTTACCTCTCGGAACACCCGATACGCAATAACCAAGTTACTGGGGTGTTTACTTACCGGGGTAGAGAATTCGACTGATCATACCGGGCAAGACAATGATGAAAAGAGGAAAGATTTTGATAAAACCGGCCATCAGCGTTGCACCTTGTGCGTGGGAGAGACTCTTTGCCGCAAGAACACGCTGTACCATCATCTAAAAATCAGCAAATTGAAACTACTTAGGAGAAGGTGGGAAAGCGTTATTGAACACTTCTGAAGATTTACGTGTTATCTACTTTTACCTAAGGCAGTAGAATTCAAGCATACCTGAGGGCTTTTGAAAAGGAAATAACATGTTTAAGACCTTCTTTTAATACACCTGCCACGTTCTGTGGTGGTGTGCCGCTCACCGGAGGATTTCTTCTGAACAAAATTCTTGTAAAATCAAACCAAATTGGAACAATAGGTAAAAGTCAAAGTATACTAATCCATCTCTTGCATATGAAACCGATAGTAGCTTGGCCACAAAAACTAAATTAATGTTTCTCTAAATTTAATCAACAAGAATGCATCTAAAGATTAAACGGCAGGCAACAATTTCTGAAATTGAAGTATTTCGTTTCATCTTTTGAACTCTGATAAATGAATGAATTTTGTACAAATTACTTTGCTTGTCAGCCACTGCCGAGACAAAACTTCAAAAATTATGTTGATTTCGGTACAAAAACTATCACAAACTAAAATTTTGTGACTAACAACAAATTACCCTAATCTACAACTGTACGTACACTGCATACGTCGTAAGCTAAAATAAACTTGTTTGACTGTATTACCGATCCCCTGGGCCATTACAACTTTAGGCGGTTTACCTAATGATTGTAACTCTTTCTGGTTAGACGCTACAATGTAAGGCTCCAGACCAACCGATGTTTATTAGTGGTTCAGAAATCTACATCGGACAAATGTTGACTTTAATAGGTTACCACAGAAACATAAAATACTGGTTGATCTTTCAGGTCTATTAGACATACAACTCAGGACTTGTAACTAATTTAAAATGCAGCTTATTTAGTTAGCGGTTCGATCCCACTAACATTAAACAGCAAAAAACTGTGTTCGGCCAAGTTTTTTACTAGCTAACAGAATTGGTTTATCGCTACCAGCAACCCAAACAGGCCCGTATCGCTGTGGAATTTGGCAACAAGTAGCCAGCTCTCCAATCGGATTTATTGCATTGATGGAAGTAAACGTCGACCATGCACCAATTTCCTAACCCTAGAAATATATTGCATTCCATATTGACATTCCATTTGCTCTAATAACGCTACAATTTGCACCTCCCGGATGGATTCAGATGTTTGCCACAAAAATCCTTGAAATCTGACTACTATAATTTTTAAGCGCGGATTTTTTTTCTCACCATAGTGATCTTTTATGCGAGTCCAAGAAAACCGGTAATAAACTGAGACTATTGGACAATCTTCAGCATAGACGCGTGATTATTATGACAATCGGGAATGGAGCCCAAGACTTGCAAACCAACAGAATTTAGTTTAAAAAGAAATAAAAACTAATGTGCTTAGTTTGCAAGGAATCGCAAGTGGTTTGCTTAAATTACAGTCACGCCTTAATTATAATTACAGCTTCAAACTCTCTAACCTAAAATAAATAATAAAGTTCTTTCATTTAAACTTCTTGTAACAATCCAGCTACCTCCATTCAAAACGCCTAGGTCATTGGAAACAGATAAGCATTCACTGCCAATTTTTTTACTTAAAGCGTTTGGTTTTGAGTGCATTTAATTATCTCATCCCTTTTAAAGCTAGGATTTCAATCTCAAATCTTCTAACTTGGGATCAGCGACTTATTCATACTTAGTTATATAAAGCATAGACTCAAATCGTCTGCTAGCATCGACCGGAAAAAGTATAGTCCTATGATGAAGAAAATACAAGTAAAGCTAAAAAACGAGAATAGTTGTAAGCACACAAACTCCCCACCCGATATTGTTAATGTTAGTAGTCGTTTTTTAGCATGTTGCCTTATAGTTAAGGAAAAGGGAAAGACTTAAATTTTGTTATCTACTTCTTAATCTTTGATTAATTATATAAACTGTGGTTAAAACCACATAAAATCATACCTGGTCAGCGCACCAATACCAAATAGAGGCTGGTGTTTGGCCAAGAATGTAGCCAAGCCAAGGCATTTCTGAATCAGAAATGTCGCGCAGCATCACAAATGCGTTGGAAGAGGGAAGTTTGCATGTTAAGTTGGAAGAGATATTTTGCGAGCTAGCCAAGGAATCAACGGTTGGCAAGGTCCCTGCTGAAAACTGTGAGACAGCTACATCATGCATGTTCATGATAAAAACTTCGGCAGAGGACGTGTTTAAATCGATTGGGCTAGTCGCCTGTCCATAATATGTCAACAGGCCACTAAAGCCTCCAATTTTGTTGAACCCTACAACAAGAATACGTGGATTACTCTTAAAAAAAGAAACCAATAATATTTCAAATTATAAACTGTATAACGTCATAAGTTAAAGTACTGCATCAAAAATCCTCAATAAAATTCACGTTACATCACGTAATTAAAAGGGTCTACAGTTTCTTCTTTCGGTATATTTCAGAATCAGATCAATGCTGATAATACTCGTCGATATTTAACATGTATTACCCACTAACGTAATACTCCAAGTGGTGACCTTAGGGTTTATTTTATATTTGAACTAAGTTTATTCAAATTAGCCAAACATCACTTATTAACAAAGATGTCAAAGCATTATCTGAAACCTTTCATACACCTGTTAAGCCGCCTTTCCTAATATACTAGGCAAAATGGTCAAATGACAGCGCCAACAAGACACACGATGTTTGCAAGCAAAATATTGTCAAAGAAAGATTATGAGGTTGTTTCAAAGAGAAATTGTTTGCTGCACTATTTGTCAAAATGTGCACTCGGAAGGCAGTTATTTCAAACAGGAAATGCACAGAATGTATAATTTATGCCTTTATGTGACAAAAACAAATTTAAGACACTAGCCGAATCAACAGAAAGATCACAGAAATACTTACTTTGATTAAAGTTTCACATTTACTGTCTTTAGGAACTCATATACTTTACTTTGCAAACTTCGTGACTTATCTATAAACATAAGTTTTACAATATAGTTTAGGATGTATAACTGAAACATAATCAAATATTTTTACCAAAAAATTTATTTGGACTTGCATCCGAAATGACTTTAGCACGATACAAATACATTACATGATAAACATCAAAAAATGTAAAAAAATTGTAGAATCAACCTCTACTCACCAATTGCAGTGAGCAAGATAGCCCCAAATAACATGACGCAGGTTTGTACTAAGTCAGTGTAGAGTACAGCAGCAAGGCCCCCTATATTTGCAAAACATGTTACAATTACAAAGTAATAAAACGCTAGTTAAAGATATGCAGCCAATAATGTCAGCCGTTGCTAAGTCACCCTATTTAAAACTCTCTCCAGGTTTTCTAAATCATTGTCGGTTAGTACATACTGAATGAAAATGACTTACCTGTGATCGTAATCAGGGTGGTCATGGTAAGTATAAACAAAATAGACAACCAAATATTCCACCCAAGAGCTTCATTAATAAATAATGACCCGGAATACAAATTTACCTAGAGAGTAACGTTCTAGAAGTTTAACACCAGAATCTTACTGAAATTTTTGTAAAAATATATAACAGAAGTGACAAAATAGTGAGGTATATTTGTATGCGTGATCCGCCAAATCGTTTTTTCATGTAATCTGGAAGGGTAAATACACCGCTCGATATGTAAACGGGCAGGAAAACCCACCCGAGCAGTTGAAGTAGAATAGCGGCCTGAAATGGTAACAAAAAGTAATTAAAGGCATTTTTAATTTCGCAATGAAAATAAGGTACATGCTTTCAGACAACTTACGTTAAATTCGAAGGCTCCAACAGAAATACCTTTGGCAGCGCCAGAGCCAGCAAGACCAATGAAATGTTCGCTGCCGATATTACTAGCAAATAGGGAGGCACCAACCTATCTTATTTAAAAAGGAAAATTTTGACAAACCGGAATCCAGGTCATAAACCTTCCTGCCAAAAAGTACCCTTGAACTGAATTCACACGTGATCTGCACATGGCCTTAAATTAACAAATATGCGATCAGTCTAATAACAACATGATTGCTTACAAAAACGCCAGCACCTAAAATTATAACAAAATAAACTACTAATACAGCAATATCTGCTCCAACAAGTGTTATCTTTTCCATAATGCCAAGGCAAACAGTGAGCCGAACAAAGTTTCAAAGTGTGACTACATTAGAATAATCTAACAAGATGTTACTAGCACAGTAAAACAAAAGACGCATTAAAAATAATAACTTACAGCATTATAAGATATTTTTGTAGACGCAAATTTACAGTTACAATGATGCTAATTAAATAGTATATGACAACTGACATTGAGTTTAAACTTCGCATTAGGACATATATTTCTATAAATTTTCAATAATCATTAAAATCAAAATTTTAGTTGAAAATACAATGCTAATAAATTACCAAATAAAATATTTTAGCATACAAATGGTTAAGTAATTTAATAGTCAAATACGCTGCATTACACCTAAGATAAGGTCTCGGAAAATGCATATATGGAGGAGTATAATTAATTTAATTATTCGGATATATGATTTAAAATTACGTCCGCAATTATAGCATTACCTCTTTAATTATAATACAGGCCCTTTTACAGTTACATAAAATTTAAAGTGACTGATGTACCAGAAGCTGTTACATTTTCAAGTGAAAATGAATATTGAAAGTGTCAGTTTTGTTGTTATCTTAAATCGAATATAGAGCAATATTTTTCTGGGAAATGAATATGCTGACGTTGTTTGAGGCATTTGTAGTTTATACCGAGGAGCATACTGCGGTTGATTTTCTCCCCCATTGGTACCAATGAATTGAAATCACTGTTTTGTCTGCCAAAATTAGTAGCTCAGCCGTTTATTGATTCATTAAGCCAACTCAGACTTTTTTCCTACCGCCTACATGACAAAATCTATACTTTTAACTTCCAAAGCAATGTTTATGAAACGATAAAGCTCGCATGTGAAATCCCCAGTCGAGCTATATCTTTTGTATTTGTTAAATAATACACCATCCGCCCTGAACCTATTTACGAGAGATGAAATTATACAATAAATTGTTGATTTGAATCTAGAAAAATTCCCTATACCAATATCTGTAACACTATAATGGAACTAGTTTTAAGTCACATGACTTTGATTTTGTGCGTCAGATTTTTACAACCAGATATCGCCATTAAGTTCAGTTTAAGTAAAAACACCAAGGTTTAGCACTTTATCGTACCCTAAATGTTACACATGCTGTCGCTTCCTTTTCTGAGATCAAGCCTAGAGGTTATGGAATCTACTTTAATTCGGTTTGCATCCACTATTTTTTTGGTGATAATAACATAACATAACATACACAGATACCATTACGTAAAAAACGAAAAAAGAATAAAATTTCTGCACATTATTTTGTCCAACTCTGTACATGCAACTGGGCAAAAAGTCGGAAAATTATCATTACTGAGCATTTTCAGGAATGAACTCGAGGCCTAGATCTTCCCAAATGGCTACGTAGTGTCCTTCAAGTGTGATTGGACCCTCGGGAAAAGCGACCAAAGCGATATTTCGATGACAGAAGGAACGTTTTCGTGGGTCGATATTGCTAGGTGTCCAACGGTGCACTAGAATGCCCTCCACACCAGTAAGGATGGACAATGGGCAAGCGGACTGTGGCAAACACTTGGTAAGGAGACCCTGAGAAGGCCACTCAAGTTTGAACAAGCAGTTGTTTAAGATTTGATTCGGATCTGTAATCTAAAAAAATGGATTCATCATAATTGGTCTCAACTTTTCTTCTAATGAATGATCGATAACCTAGACAGCAAATGTGTATCAAACGATTTTTCTGGATGCTTCCTAATCAGGATGGCGCCATCACATGATGTCAAAATACAAGGTCATACTAATTTGCAAATGTACCAGAAAAATATAGAACTTAAAACACCTAGATTTTAATTTAAAATAAGCAGCAGCACACATGATAGGATGAAATCATGCCTGTGGACCAAACAAACAGAATAAAACGAGACTAGTACCTAATTTAAACTAAAGGCAAGTGACTAAGAGCCAAACAAACCTTAACGCGCCCCGGTGCACTTTCTGTGAGGTGAACGACCGCGGTAGAGAGGGTGTTTATCCCGAATGGTGCACGATGTCGACCCGCGACCGCTAACGAAGACGCGAAAGAAGTCCCGGGGGAAGTGTGTGCGGCATTTGGGTCAACTTCGACGCACCAAGAAGCTAGGTCGCTATCTCCTGTGGTGTGCAAGAGGTTGGAAGAGAGAGATGAGACTTCCCTCAAGTCTCTATCATTCACTTGAACTGGATGGCAACTTTTGACAGAATACCGCTGCAGAGACCGCCTGGGCCTCTGGACCCTGTTAAGCTCGACTGAGGATTAAAAGAAAACGGTCTTTTTGCTATATTAGCACAAACTTCGGTAACATAATATACCACTTGAATTGCTACGGTCCATGTATTAGACACTGGTTAGTTATAACTTATTATTCAAAGGAACTTAACGAGATTTCCCTTTCAGCTAACAGAACAAACGTGATTGCGTCACGAATTTGCTGCACCAAGTAAGCCATAAGTCTCGGAAAAACCACCACTTGAAGCGCTTCGCAGGCTATGGAGAAAGACGCTTGGACAGTATTATGTGCATAAATTTTGTCGAAAAATATGTATAATTTGGAAACAGAATTACAATAAAAACGGAAGTAGTAGTTGGCCAGAGATGCGGAAACATTTGCCATGCGTTGGTTTATGAATGGTTGATCACCAATAGACCAGACTTAAACTAATTGAAAATAATAAACAATGACATTGAACTACCACTAGTAACAAAAGTTACATCACTGATTTTAACAGGGTGTTACTTTAAACGTTTAGAGTAACTGCTACCAAAATTCCAGTATCTCAAGATGATCCATCGTGCAGTCTCAATGCCATCGTTGTTAAAAGGCGCAAAGAGTTCTGCTGGTGGGTCTTAAGAGCGATCACCTGAAAATTTTTAGATCTGCGTGTGAGTGGGATGGGAGATTCAATTGAAGGCATTCAAGGGATCCGGCACACACGTTAACGATAAGCTTGGAGGCGCTGTGCCCGTGTGAATGACGATAATAAAGTACGATTTTCGTTTGTAAGTAAGAGGGATTTGTGAAGGGCGTGTAAACCACAAATAATACGGGTGGATTCCTCCTTATACCCTTTTTATAAATTTAGGGTAAAATAATTAATGATCGCCTTATACTTTAGTACTGAAAACCCAGTTCTGTCATGCCCTCCGCAATGTGTGAGAGCATGCAAATTTGCATTTGTCAACAATACTAACCAGACCCCGTTTAGCAGACACGGTAGCACAACATGTTAATTAATTCACGAGTCGAATGGTGCAAATAAAACACAGATACTAAGTTGGGAAAGTGTGCATTTCGAGCAGAACACTTCGAATTTAACGGATCACATTGAAGAAACAGTTTGGCTCCCCATGATGTTTAATCAATACATTTGTTCGGCCGACCAACGCCCACCCTGGAGAAGATCGGTTGCTACGTAATGTCATGCCAAAATCAATTATTCTGTGATTGGGTCGAAATCCTGATCTATTGCGCTTTCTGCACGAATATCCGACCAATCTTATGTTCCCAATCTCGCCTAGTGCGCGGATCTTTCGCACAAAACCACAAAGTGCAACCCATTGGCCTCACAAATGTACCTCTCTATATAGATTAAAATGATTGAACATGCCCTTTTACGTTAGTATTCCACTTCTGGTTTTAAATAAAAGTTTATATTTCATAAAGACACACAGTAAATACAGTGACTCCACAAATGTCAGTTAGTTTAGTTTCGTTCGAGTTCACACAAAGCAAATGAACCTAGGACTTGAATGTAATGGGCAGTAGTGTGAGAGCAAGTCTACTTGACGTAATAATAGAACGCGAAAGCGTGAGAATAGGCACGCAAGATTTATGCAGAGTAGATAATGCTTGAGGCAGCTGAAGTCAACCGCGCCATTAGCACATATTTTAAAATCTTCAAGTCGATAATGCACAAAACAGACACCTTCAGAATTACTTCCGGTTAGTACTCAGCCAACAATAATAACCATTAAAAAACACGAAAAAAGGTTCATTTGAATGAAAATGTGAAACGGCGCACCTCTGCTACCACGTTAATCGGTGAGATGGGTAAAGTGGCCTCACTCATAGTGGAGAGGTAACAACAAGCCTCATGTTGTAAGACCAGAGGTCTAAGGAATTTCCTATGAGTAATTCTGACTAGAGATAGCAGTGTTTAATATGAAATTTAATTAAAATCAAATTAACCCTCAATAGTTTGAGATTGTACACCAAAGCTGACCACATAGTAGATTTTAACAAATTGTTCAGAGTGGGATGTCAGCTTGGTGGACAGACGAAATTGTGAAGCGGGGGATGAGACCGATGGAACGATGAAGAGAAATGCTGTTAAATACCGTACAAAGGGATCATAACTACTCACCATCTCCACCTCGACTGCCAAGGCACCACCGTCGGCAACGCTGCATAGCCCCGACCCCCAAGCACCGCAGTACCCTCATGGCACCGGGGATCGACAGATTCGGGCAGGCCACGCGGCAATACTCGTGATGGCTCTCGGAGAAGCTCGTGAGCAGCGGGCTGACGTAGATTGGATAGCCGACGGGTTGGTCACAACTCGAGTTGATTAAGTTCCTCAGCACGTGTTTCGCATGCTGTATGCTGCCACGCTCGGCGTTTTTATTGCGCAGAAATATTTGCTCACGCAGCTGACCCGCCCAAAATCCGCGCACGCACTCACTGTTCAGCTAAAGTGGACCACCGGAAACACTGGATTTTGACAACTTGGTAATCGTAAACATCAAGGTTAGATGGAAGAGAATGGTCTGTGAGCAAACGATATCCAATCAGATATGCGCACTAAGAGATGTTATGCAATTAAAAACACGCATTTAGCATAACCACCATCAGTTGTAAAGATATTCGTCAGCCGGCTCAAAAAAATTAGGATATTCTGTTTAACACAGTTCCTAAATATTAATGATTTTCAATACCATTAAACAATGTCATTGAATAGCACCGGCGCAACGTAGTAAGTCGTGCATCGAAATAATTTGGAATGCAAAAGGTTAATTTTGGTGTCTCACAACAGTGATGCAATGACCACGACCTAGCTTTGTAAAAACGTGCCTACATAATCACTGGTTTTTGCCTATTGGGTCTCAAAAACGTCAACTATGCTCTGAAACAACGCAGAACATAGCAATTTATGTAAAATTAGCAGTTAGTGTGGGTTTTAAGTCTTTCATCATTGATACAAACTCAGATGACTCCTGGAATGCATTAACTTCTGGAGAAAATCCTTCTATTCTGTTATGAGTAGGGAAATGTAATTTACAACATTGTCAACATTTGTGTCCAACAATTGTGACGTACATTAGAACAGAGACACTAGTGTTCGCCAGCAAAACCTTAAAACAGTTTTGGCCTTTGGTTTTTCCTGCCAATGTCTGAGGGGTAAAGCAATGATTCTCAGCTGCAATGACTTGGCCAACAGCTCACTTCCCCATACCTTAATAACTTGAAACGAGAGAGTTTGTTTGTTCATCATGATGAAGCGGAAGCACTGCTGTGTTGTGCCTGAGTCGATTTTGCGAAACGAGAACAGTTTCTCGGCGTTGTTGAGAACAGCAGAGCGCCATCGAGGGTCGGTCTCATGGCAAATAACAACCGACCGCGTCGTGTTCCAAATGGCCTCGTAGAGCTCCAGGTTCGTCGACAACGGGTTCCAAGTAAAGTGGTCCTGACACAAACAAACACAGGTGAAAGCGCATCACATTGCAAAACATTGAAAAATATGTGAAAAACTCGTAAATAACTATGGCTAATGAATGATATTCACTTATCGATGCTTCAAACAGGGCTTTCGATTTGCTGAGTGTGGAGGTTACCTAGCTGAGGTCGCATGGCTCGGTGCGGCCAACACTTGTCATCGAACCTTTTGAAATTATGGGAACAGAACACATCTGTGATTTGTGGTACAATGCCTGCTGACGTTGAATTTGCAAATAATTCAGGAGGTCGGTCAGGAAGCTACTCTGGGAATGCCCCCTGTTGATACGAATCATTCTGTGTGAAGTGAATAGTAGCCTTCAGGACAGACCTGGTAAAGCTTCAAGGCCACTCGCATGGCGGGTGTGACGACAAGTTTGAGCAAGTCCAAGTCAGCGAAGACCCAGTCGTCTTTGGATGCGATCTGCACGTCTCCTTTGAAAACATCGTGCAGATAATGCAAAAACGTATCCAAACTAAAATTCACAAGGAAAGATCAGACTAGTTTCCCACAGGTAATTTTAACCGCAAAGGATTGCGACATCTACAGGAGTTGCAAGCAAAACTATTCCAAAATGATTACATTATTTGACTAATAAATGACACATACAGACCAAGAACTTTGAAATGATAAGTTAAATGACTACAAAGTTGCAGTATTTTGGATTAAGGTAAAACCTTTACAGCCCTAGACACAAATATAATCATTGAGCGTTGAGATGTACAGACCAATGAGTGCCGAAACTGATTGTCAAATAGTCACTGAGACTTACGTGTTATTGAGATGGCCAGAAACACCACTTAAGCACCGTCGTCCCAAGAGTGAGATTGCATAGCACAGTGTCATCAGGTCGGATTCATCAGCCGAGCTAACGTCCTGGCAACGCCGAAACACAAGTTTTACCATCGCTACAGCCTGACTAGTAGTAAATTATGAAAAGTTCGTGGCAAAGGTGAGTTAAAGACTGCCAACATAAACGGACAACGTCCTCTTTAAGACGATCTTTGATCGCTTTAACCTGGTTGTTGCAGTTCCAAAGTTGGTGCTAATTAGCTTTTTAAAAATCCACGAAGCGTTTTACAGCATAATCGCTTGATTTTGAGAAAGAGTTAAAAACAGGAAAGCGATGGGCGATAATTAAGATTCATGACAACCCATGAAGAAGTATATAAAAAAAATGTTTATATTATTCTAGATCCGCGTAGAAAGAAGATGTTGTCCAAAAAGCGCCGTCAAAATTAAATGTACACAACGTAAAAGTAAAGACAATCACGAAAAAATTGGGTGCTTCCAAATCCAGAATTTGTTATGCAACGTAATCCAGGGGACAACGTGAAGGGAAAAATGAAACAGTCAAAAAGATAACTACACATCAACAGACGTATCAAAGCACCAAAGGAAGACATTTGGTCAGCTTTCGTAAAGATCAACCCAAGTTCGCGTGAAAACTCACCAGAAAGAAACTAATTTTCATGCAAGTCAACCACTAAAAGCCCCTATTTACTTTTTAACAAAAACTTGCATGACAGTTTTTTTTAGACTTTTACGATTTCATTTGCATAAGCATTTGCCATGTCAACGGTCAGGAACGAAGCTAGTTTTGGCCGATAATTTTGTGATGTAATTATTATGTGGGATAGTCCACCGTTGTTTAGGTTGTTCAATGGCAATCTAGATGGTGCGAGATACCTTGGAGTTAAAAATCTGCTTTCTCAACGGCGAACACTCGACCACGTCATCCACGCGTTTGGATACTTAAAGATGGCGAGAAAATGAAGATGAAAAAAAATGCAGGAGGAAACTAACTAAATACGATGTCTAACTGACCCATAAATGACAAATCCCAGGAGTACCGTTTGTTCAGATTTCACCAAACAGCGCCGATGGAAAACTGATCAACCTTTTAGGGATTTCCGGCGCGTCCGGAAAGTAGCAGAACCAGTTATTGGTGTTTTAGATTTACGTCCTGTTGCTTTACACAACTAGCCCCTTCCCCGACTGGTGAGTTTAAAAGTGATTAACTACGGTAATTGGATTATTAGAAAATGACTTCTTGCTTAGGTTTCTCCACCTTTTATTGGATCTTATTCTTTCTTCTTACATTTTTGGGTGCCTTGATTCCGATTTAAGGTAAGAAATGTATTACCTCGTTCCCTGTGCTCCTGGCAAGGCAGTACCGGATCCATTCAGCATAAACACGAACGAAGGCGGCGCGGGTTAATCCAGAAACGGTTTCATCGAAGTCTTCGTCGAAGATTTTGGTGAAGGTCGGATCTAAGTCTACCTTGTCGTCCCCAGTGAAGCGCTTATTTAGTTCATCTGACAGGGTCGCCAGTCTGTTCGAGAGATTTGGCAGCCATGCAGTGAAGTAAAGCAGACACTAGGGACAAGTAACGAAGCATTTTAGATAAAAACCTTGCCTTGCGAAAGAGTCGAATTGTTAAATGTCCTGGGCACTAGAAAAAATAAATGGCCCAGAGAACACCCGAATTCACTTATTCTAATACAAGTCTTAGGCAAGTCTGCATTACCCAAGACTGTTGGTCGTATAACTGAGACTTGCAGCCGTTTGAACAATTGCCGTGGTTCAACTGTTTCAATTATCACACGACCTTTAAGCATCCTCTACTTCCACTGACACCCTGGTCGGTGTGCAACCACCTTGATCCACGTCAATTGAGGTCAAGGTCGCTCAGGGGAAACGAGAGGAAGCACACTATCTGGGACAGAAAAACTATCTTTACAGGGTCACGTCTTTGCCCTGGCATCGGGATTGTGGGGCCTACGTTAGACGAGGTATTTGCGCATTGGGGCTATGAGGGTGCTTTAGTTAGTGGTAAAATGTAACTGGTACATCTTACGACTTCCAGAATCGCTCGAGATCCAAATGACAACAAAAAATTAATAAACCGTTTGAGTTGCAAATTAGCAAGAACAATAATAGTACAAATAATAAAGGGCTAAGACTCGTTACAAAATACTTTAAACGAAATTGCTTAATTTGTGTTAAGCAAAACACGGCCCAGGATGTAAAAAGAGCGTAAGTGATAAAATCGAGTACCTCTGATTTAGTTCGTCTTAACTTGTAGTCTAACGTACATAGGCAACACGTGACTTGAAGGAAAATCACGGTGAAACGAAAACAAGCTATGAGGGCGTGGGAGCAACATATTGAGTGGGTTTAAATATAGAAAATCACCTCCAAAAGGCGATACGCAGGAAGTTGTCGGGTCGCTTTAGTGGTTCCTCATTGCGAGTTACATTAGGTTAGTGTATAACGGATAGCTACATTTCCAAGACCAAGACAAAACAAACTTGCCGTAGAAGTAACAAGCGATTTGGGGTAATTTCGACAAAGTATGACGTTATGGAGCGAAAATAGCAAAAATCGGAGCCGAAGAGCTGATCACTCGGCTACCTATAGGAAACAGGATACAGTCGTGATCAAACATACTGGAGAAGCAACGGACCGTGTCTCTGTAAGTTAAGGTCTAACAGAGGTGGAGTGGGATACGAACGCCTATTACTGGAACACATTAATTAGAAAGACTACTTTTTGGGGCTCAGAAATCCAGGGGATTCATGGAGCAGCGTAAGCCAGTTGGACGTGCAAAGCAGTACGAATAAATGACAACTCGAAGTCAACGCAAACAGACCTGGATAAAAAGGGCCACAACAATTTTGCGAAAATCGATGACTTGAAGCGAGGTGGCGGCGCTGTGGTCAATCAGGCGGTAGCCCTCGATGGTGTAATGACTCTCAACGAACTGCCAGGCGAGCCAGCGAAGCCGAACAGAGGCATTCGGACTCAACACGGAGGCAGGCAAATTGCGCAGGGTGCAGCAACAAAAACCACGATCTGTTTGATGCAGCTCCGTCAGACAATTGCTTTCCTGCTCATGACAGTAGGTGCCTATTTAAGCAAAGGGTTTTATGATGCATCAATAAACACTCAGCATTGACCAAAATTCATGCAAGTTGGAACTGCTCCACAAAGGTATTCGGTTTCAGCGATTTAGGCCAAATAATACACATCACGTGCCATGGTAATCACTTCAGCAAATTGGCTATTACCTTCGCAAATGCGTTTACATTCTAACAGCAAGATTGGAATTAAGTCAAAATCACAAACAAGCCAATAAGTTAAAACGACACATGAAGAGACTCCATAAAATAGGTGGAGTACGCATTAGTGGCGCGTTTGTAATACAAAGAATTCTGTGGCAGAATGCTTAGGAATGAGTTGCTTTTTCAATAATTACGTTGATTTAACAATCATTTGGCTGTGAAATGCGAACAGGATAAGATGTACCTGTGAATTTTTTTACCACTTTATTTGTGCAATGTACATAATGTCAGAGCTGCTTTAAATACAAGTATTGAAACATATTTTTTTGACAAAAGTGTGTATTTAATAGTCTAGCTCTTCAAGGCTTCCCGATTGCCTAAGGAGGGTCAATAACACCAACAATCACAAGTACTGAGACTCCACGAGACCTCCGAATTACAAATAGGCGAGTTTAAGGTTAAAAGCCAACAATGGACCATTAATGAGTCACTTGGATAAACTGTATAATCATTAGTTTCGGCGTCAAAGTGGTCATCTGGAGTAATAAACATGGATTATCTGAATAGGAAATCAGGAAATCTAGAAATGCCAAAAATTAAAGACGACTAGAGCGTGAATGTTGGGTAATATAAAAGTTTTAAGCAATTTTGCCAGGAAACACGCAAACAAAAAGACGTTTCGACAGAACACATCTTTCGGATTAAGAGACTAACGATGCAAACTTTATCTCCTACATCAACAAAAAGAATTGGAGATCCAAGAGAAAAAGTATCCACAGTTAAACAATGGCATAAGCTGCTGCATACCCGCGAATTCGAGGCCACGCGTTTGAAAGGTGACAAGGCCGTTGCCGACCTCGATGATGTGCAGCAAGAAGTGCTGTTCCTCAGAGGCCAGAATGTAGATGTCGCCAGCCTGTACGTTTCCGCCAGACCACCGCCCTAAAGCAATGTCTCCGGCAAGGCGCTGCTGCAGACACCGGGCTAAATGCTCGTAAAAAATGGCGTTTAGGTTAGCCGTCACCTGCTCAAACGACACGCCACGCAGCTGGGAATACAGAGAGGTAGTAGTTGACTCAATTCTGTTTAGTCTAAAAGCGGATACATACGCGCGCATTTACACACTCGCATCACATGCCTAGGTGCATATTTTTAAGTGACTCAAGAATATTTTCTATCTATGCAAAAAATAAACCATAATTGAGGCAAGCGAATTCCCCTTCACGTACAAATCGGCGTATTTAGACTAGGGACCTCGGGTTTTTAAACAAATTCATTCCATTGAAGTAATTGACCTTCTTCACTACCAACGACAACCTTGCTATCGCAGACGTTTAAATACATCAAATAAGTACAAAAGACACGCATATTTGTAGAAGACACGTGCCTAACTACCTAGAACGGACCCTCCATGATTGCCGAAGCACATCATTCAATGTTTTTGTGTCTCACAGGAAAACTAGACGTCGCGAGCACATTGGTCAGTTTGAGGATTTGACATGACATTTTAATTTCGAGGTTAAGAGGATGAACGCATGTGCAATCTTAGTAGTTGTATGAAGCATCGGCCGTTACAAAATATGCTGCGCATTACTTCAGCAAATATGACGATCGGAATACTGGGCATTACATTCTTGGATGCACTTCGGCGGGTGTACTACGTGACTTTTAACCCAAAGTAAATACCAACAACAAGCATGTTCTCGACCTGAAGCCTGCCGTATGCAGTGCTTAATTATGCTTCTTTGTGTACACGAATTCGCAAAATTCAAATGCAAGAGAACAATGTACTGTAAAATATTCAACTGAAGTCAAACCTGGCTAAAATGCTTTCAATAGCCTCTACACCTCCTTAGAACTAAAGTACACAACATTTAAAAGTAACTTTAAATGCGGACCTTACCAAGCTTTCAGCCTGGCAAAAAATGGCCGGAAATACTAGCACTATTAAACAACAAAAGTACTATTCAGTCGCGATCCATACGATTTCCATGTGAAAGGAGTGACGGAGAATGAAGTTATCGAAAGGACACAAAATACACAGGACACAAGGTATGCGATCGCCTCATTCACAAGGCAGAAACGACAGGTGTTCCTAAGCTTGATTAAAATTTGAAAACAAGACGACGTACCTTTGAGTCGCCTCCCAGAATCGGATGGGTCTGACGTAGGACGTGATGAAAAATACACTGCCTACAAAAGGCTCCAAGGGTGCTGATATCAGGGTGGAGAAGACACAATTGCCCAGGATCGAGACAAAATCTACGAAAACCCTGGAGTCAAGGGGCTGATGGAGATAATCGCTTTTAAGCATTTGCAGAGGAAGTACTTGTCCCAATACATCAGGACCACTGTCGTGAATCGTCATTTTGAAGAAGCTAATCAGAAAAATGCAACATTTTCGCCTTGGGGAAAGGCCCGATTCTAACTAAGCCGTAAATCAAAAATGATAAGCTACAAAAACTTGGTTGGATTACTAAAAAAGGAGTAAGAAAAACCTACGAGGTAATAATTTCACTGAAATCGGATGTCGTGGCAGAACAAATACTGCATTCTAAGTGGTTTTAGTGAGAGGTGAGATTATAAGCCTTTCTTTTGTAAGTCAGAATGCGAAGACAAATTTGGGGTGAGAACATAACGCCAAGAAGCAGAAAGGATACGCGGAATCGAAGCTAGCTGGGCCACAGCATGGCAAATCGACCCCCAACTTGCTTGGAAGGGCGCGGTGTAAATGTACACAAAGGACAACTTGTTCCAGAGCTCTTCAATCTACAAGCATAATAAACACTCTGAATTTACATGTGGGAATATAAACGGGTCCCCGATATTATAGTATCTATGAGAACAAATGAAAACATAATTTGCACTTATTTGTAACGAGTTCATGATGGTTTGATGGGATTCACTTCACTTCTCGCTTAATTCAGGGAACACGTTTTTATATGGTCTTGGGACCCCGTACAGGATCTCGATGAGAAAAAAATTACTGAGATTCTGGTTATTTCATTTGCCGCATAACAATTGACAGGCTAAATGGTAGGGCTTATTGAACGTGTAAAGTCGACTTCCCACAGAACTACTTTCGGCAAGTTCACCTCATGCACAACAAGCACCTCAGGGTTCAATCTGCTGTCACTCGTGTGAGTTCTGGGGAAAAAGGTGGCAATATAAGTTCTCAGTTTTAAGCAGCCTTGATTGGTGCTGCCTGACGTGTCGGCCGTAAAGCCGGTCTGGTACATCCGTCTCCATGTGGGGCAAGAACACACACGCCTCTTGTCGTTTTGTGGGTTCATACACTCAATTTTGAGAAAATGCCAGTAAAAATTGTGAGTAGGTGACTTCTTTTGCCCGGTGTTATTGACATGGCATTCATTTTTTCACAAAAAGGCCTATTATTGAGACTACGACAGCCCACTCAATGCGGACGTTTATCTTGGCTTATATATCAGTAGGACCACAGTGCATAGGATGCAAAATGCTTTTTGGTGTTACTGGTGATAAATAAATCAAGCTGATTGCATTAATATTGCTTTGACAATATGTTGCTAATTGAACCGTACTGGGTGTGTGTCGGGTGGACTAACTACAGCATTGAAGAACCTGCAGGATTCTACAATTTACCCAACATTAATACCTATGCTATTGTGCAAGATTTGTAACAAGTTTGATCAGACGCGAATTCAATTTCAACAAAAGCCAGTGACCGGCTGGCACACATAATTTCCCAAAAAATGGAACATCAAGTTAAAAGCATTTTTTTGCAACGGACACAACCTGTAACCACTTGCTAGAGGCGCAGCTGATGGTCTGCGAACGCATATGAGCAGAGGTTGTGCTGCCTTGACATTGCCCTCCTTGTTTTGGGGTTGCATGGCTGTAATCCTGTGATTCAGCTTATCCCTGCCACAGAAGTCCCCTCGTAACTTATTAGGGGTGACAAACATCTTGGCAATGTCAGTTATGCCTTTGAAGTAGTGTGGTGTTTGTTCGCACCATTCGGTCAGAGTACCATCAACTACTAAGGTCACGCATTCTAAGTACATAAAAACCCCATATTCTAATGAAAGGCGTTTTTGTACGCCTTTCAGACATATCCGAAGAAAGTGTTCTTCCCCAAATGGACAGTCGAAATGGTAAAGAAATAAATTACCTTCGAAATGATGATTGATAGGAAGAAATAGTCAACTGGAAGAGTTTCGCTAAGGCCGGGAAAATCGCATGTGAAAAGAACTTCAGCGAAGAAGAGAACCAGGAACATTTTCGTAGCTCCCGAGAACCCATTGCGAAGTAATTTCATTGTTGTGATCAGCAGGATAATAGTTGTCCAACTGTAGGTAGAAGCATTGGTTTCAGTAGGCCGAGTTAAGTGTGACTGCTGGCAAACTCTGACCACTGCACTGCTTCCAATTGTATTGATTAATTTTGATTACATTACCAAAACGGTACCAGACACCATTTGTATAAGTTATTTCCAGGCAATCTACACGGCGGCATATCCTATATTCACAGAGGAAACCGAGAAGCCTACATACAACACTGAATTGTGACGCTCTGGCATTCATTCGGGTCTTAACGTATATTCAAATACTTGCCTCGCAAAAGGATTAACACTAATGGGTAGGAAACTTTCGAAAGCTGGATTTTCAGTGACGTGGTTTGCCCCACAAAAGTAATTACACAAGCGATTATGGTCAGGAGGAGAACAATAAGTAATTTAGAGACGACACTAAGATAAAACCGGATTCTTTTTTAGGTAAGTTTGTCATGTGACAAATCGTTAGCATACATACAAGTTTGTGAAATTTATCAGTTAGTTAGAACTACAACCTGCACTTATGTATTTTCAATTTAGACAAACCCGGACAAATTTTAAACTAATGACTAATCAAGGAGATCGCTAAGTTTAAAGGCAAAATTTTTTGAACAGTATAGTTTTTAAGTTAAATTTAATGATGATGGCGATAGCACACCATGGTGCCTCGAGGAGGACCTTTGTGGGATATATCAAGAGTTCGCATTCTCTTCTATGCGTTACCGGATGGGGCATTTCCATTTCAAATATTGACTGAAGGCTGTTTATCTCAAAACGTGACAGTAAACGCAACAGCGATTGTTCTGAATTCAAATGCCAACAATTTCAACAATAGTCCTGATGCGTAACGGAACACTGCGGGCTTTTAAGTGGTGCAAAATTGCCCCCCACCAGAGTTCCGACCCAAGCGCGAACCTTGTTAAGGGAGTTGTCGCGCGGTAAAGACGCCAACTTACACTTTCCCAAACTTGGCCAGCAAGGGAGCAAGTGCTTGTGTGACACTGGCCATTGTGACAGCAGGAACAAGCAGGTACCGTTCAAGCCAGTGACACCAGTAGTAAGCCACCTCAAATGCCGTCAGACGACCATCGGGAGGGCGAGCAAATACTGTGCGTGTAAAGAGGAGCCAGGGAAATGGCTAAGTAATAAAAAATCCATGTTACAATCGAAAAAAAATCAATGCAGAATTTGTTTTGTTTTCCACATTAAAATGTTAAATTCACAGACGATGGGAAGAGGTGTGAAATTTAAACTTGCCTTCCGTAGCTGTGGCCACACGTAATGCAATATGAATCCCCAAACAATGGTAAGCCAAGTGAGGACGCGTGGAAGGCCGGGCTGCAGTGCTGGCACGGTAAATACGGTGCTCAAATGGACCGCAGACCCAAGGATAAACCAGATTAGCATAACAAGGAGATCATTGTGGATGCGCACGACCATGGCAGATACGATTCGATCAGGAAGAGGATCGTGCAGGTCAGAGGTCATGGCATTGGAAAGTGGAGGGGTAGATGATGGAGAGGGAACGTTGGGGCCGGGAACTCGTGATGAGCCAGGGGCTGAGACAGTCTGAGGCGCTAAGGGGAAGAAATGAGTGAGTTGGCACTTGCAGTCGAGATGACGGGTTAGCATATTTCGTTGTTCAAAGGTCCGTAGTTCTGGAGATAAAATTTCTGTTTATAAACCTAGATACGTTGGTATGAATCAAACAAGCACTGCCCGTAACCAAATTCGAAACGCAAGAATCAGTAATTTCATTCCTTCTGAAGCCATTTCAAAATAATTAAACATAAATTCAGGATTTTAGTGGCATTTACGGAAGTTAATAACATCACCGACCAAGGCCATAAATAGAGAACGTATTTAAAAGATTGAATCTAGAAAAAATCAGCATAAATCCGTGCTTAGCAAATCGTATTAGATAATTTAACGGACTTAATGGGTTTTTGAAGAGTCCGCTAATCAATTTAAAATATCCTTTTGAAGGTTTTTATGGCTTATACTGACTAACATGAAGTTGAACCTAAGCAAATAGTAATCGAATCATGAAAATTGTCTTTGGATTTTCGGCTTAGTGCTTGCTACCTTCGGTTAATATTAATTGTTACATATCCTGCAGTGCATGGACTTAGTTGGTGGATATTGGTGCAAAAGTTAATGGAGCAAAGCCAATTTCCCAGCATGAATTTTCGCCCACGTTGTGGTTAAAGAGGCAAATTCTTCCCAAATAAAATGCGTGTCTGATCTACGATTGGACCTAAAAAAGCGTTGGCAAGTTGCCTTACCGGTGGAAACGTCCCCCAGGGGTGAATTTGGGGAGGAAGGTCGAGGTGACGGGCCCGGAAACTCAGGCGATGTGAGCCTCGGTTGAGATTGCAGTGTTGTAGGTGCTCCTGGAGAGGACAATGGCTTTTCCGTGTTCCCAGGTTCAACTGGAGATACACTCGATTGGGTCTGTTGATCGCACTGTCTGCTAGTCTCCGTGACACAGCAAGCCGGCGAAAGAGGCGTTTCCACGCCCCCCTCGTCTTCCTTCGCGACAGTCGTTCCACGGGCGATGGTCTTTGCCGTAAAGAGACTTTGCAGAGACATTAAACAACGCCGAAGAAGGAGGCTAACACAGGAGCGGTTAAGCCGGTGTCGGGAGATAAATGAAACAGGCGAGGAGATGCATGAAAGTAGCTGCGTTCGGAGAGGTGGCGCGGGTGCATCAGAAACCATGCGGGTCCAGAGCAAATGGAAGATATTCACATTGTTGGGGGTGCGGCTCATCATAAAACACATGGCAAGATGAAGCCCCCAAAACAGTGAGAGGAAGAAGCTCTGTGGATTGCATTTCTAGAAAGACAATTCAAAACTCGACACACTTAAACCACACCGGATCAAAATTTCTAATAGCGGTGTTAGTGTTGGTTGCGCCTGTTTCCGTACCCGAAGGTTGGGCTTCATAATGGGCTCAAGCATTTCGTTTCGAAACCCTTAGTCTAGTTAACATAACATCAGTTAGGGACGATATAGGAGAAAGATGCACAAATCATTGCCAGTAACGAAACTAACATCGTGAGTACTCTTGCGGCCTCCACCAGAGTTGACAGTGTACAGGGCATCATGGTGACCAAATTACCCCCCCCCCCCAATACGACATTTTACTTGAAGGCGTTTCGCCGCACAAAAATCGAAAGCTTACATTTACGGCCGCATGACAGAAGCCAAAGCAGATCGCAATCACCACAACACTGCGCACAACAGACAGTGCCGCCGAGGTCAAGTTGGCAGATCCACTCGCGCCAAACACATGAACATCCACTTGTTCAAGTATATAGGCTAGCAATGTGTTTATTTGCGGAACCAGTCCAAAGAGGAATATTAGTGGAAATGACAACAGGAGGTAGCCGCTGGCATCCTTCAGAAGACAAAGCAGCCAAAGCGGTTGGAGCGACAGGCCGTAGAGGGTTAATGTGGGTGACTGGGAATTAACTATTCCCTCATAATGTGACGGCCACGCACTCAGATGGGCTTCGTACCGACGCACAAAGTAGAAGTTGCTTGGGCAGGCATCTCTACGGCCACCATCATCTCCACCAATGAGAAGGACTGAGACGGCGAAGAGAGCGCAAAGACAACAGAACACTGAGGATCGCGAGTAGACGATTAGCCGGTTGAAACCGTGGAGGGGTGAAGCAGGGTCCGGTTGGACTGACTTAATTAGAGAATAGTGGCATCCAGCCAAGACGTAGCAAAAGCAGGTGAGGCCAAAGCCGTGAAAAGCCCCGCATGATAGGAGAAGGCTACCGAGGACTGAGACGAGGATGGTAAGCGCGAGGGTCATCAGATACTCCAGTACCGTGGACTTTCTAAAACAAATTTTGAAACAACTTGTAAGTAGTATTCAACGGGATCACTCCTACGAAAAGACTGCTCCAATGCTTTGGCAGAAATTTGGAAGGCACCTTTCTTTGTTGAACCTACGGTGCCGGTGTCTTAAACAGGTTTTGAAGGAGCATGATGATTATTTGGACTATTTTATAGTCATCAATTGAGAATGCAAAATCTCAGCTGAACCCTCGCCTGTCCAATCAACACGACCAGAACCCCTCAGTTACCAGAATCCAATCGGCAACGGGTATGAACACTGGGACAGACTACAACAGGCTGCGTTAATAGTATAAGTATCAGCTGGTTTTTCCTAAGTGTATTTGAAATTCCATTTGATTTAGCCCACTAGACCCAACATTTGTATCGTTCACATTGGTCAAAGTAAACGAGCAGTTTACTTGGACGAAGATCTCTTTCTAAGTGCCAAATTATTCCTAATGTGTCTTCAAATATCGGCTAAACACGTTCATGAAATTGGAAGGCTTTGTTGCATTGGGCAAAAACAAAATCTGCCAATGAGTAAGACTAATAGATTCGAGACCAAAAAACCACCTAGCAACCAAATAAGAATTAAACGCTAGTCCCTTGAAGAGGACTAGCGTTTAACATCTGGCCGAATGTCTCGTCTTTCAGGTAGTGCTGCTCTCAGAGCAACCCGAATTCGCCAAAAATTCGCCGAACTAAGTGATCATCGAGACCCTGGAATTTCAACACAAATGGAATCGGAGGTTGATGACACCAAACATTGCATTTTTCTTGCAAAAACACAGACCTCTAGAGCCGGTAGTTGTTAAATGGAAGGCCTCACCCTTACGACAAATTATTACTTCTAATTGGTGGAATTCTAACTTCGCGAATACAGTAACGTAGGCAATAGTTGGCTGCTAGAAAAAAGGAATGTATTACCAGCCCTAACTTTGGGCATTCCTAGACCCCTAGAGAGTTACCCCAATTGGGATTTCACAAACCGTCTTGGCGAAGTGATCGGACCACATCTCTTCGCACCTAATTTCATCAAAGCAGGAAAGAACCAATTGAAGTTACAGCAATTCAAAAACAAATCAGAATCTCCCTATTTAGCAATCGGGCCTTGCGGTAATTTGTACTAGGTACTATAGGAAACGATTTACAACCTTTCCTGCCTAGAAATTTGGGTTGTGGGAGGATTCCGATGAGGTTAATTTCAAAACATTTTTAATTAGTGGAGCTGCATAAGTACCCATAAACGTCAACACATAGGCACAACTTTGGGTAATTCTCGAAAACAGTAAAATATATACAAGATAACTTAGGGCATTAGCCAAAGAGAGTGGAAAGAAATTTGTGTAAGTGGACTTAGCAAAAGTTCAGATCACCTACTCAAGTCGGTTTTAATCATCTCAAAAAAAACTGTGCACTTTCAGGGCTCGCACACGTGCATTGTTGGCTCCTAAAAAACACACCGAGGCGGCAAAAATAGTGGCGATTTTAAATGGGATTTTGCACCGATAAGTTGTATTCATAAATGGAACTAGGTTTGATTTCAAGCATAAAGATTTCGATTTGTCTTTTGAAAATGCTTCACAATCCGATGCACGATTCCCAGATCTGTGCTAAAAGTCATTTGTCCTGATCGGAAAATGTGTCCAGAAAATAGCCTTTTCCACGGGAGTCGAGGAAATGGAGACCGTGAGTCTAGTCATTTAAACGAGTTAAGGGCACGTCTGAAGTCAGTATGCAGCAACATTATTTTAGTACCTTTGAAAGTTTAATTCAAATTTGAAAGTCAACAGCCCATTAGTGTAGCAATGTACTCTCGGGTCGTGTAGCTCAATGCCTCAAAACAGTGCAGGCAACGTACCGATCGAAAAGTGCAATCAGCTGTAGCCGATTGAAGTCAATAAGAAAACGACGCCGCCAGAAAGGGAAAAGCCGGACACGGTACTGAAAGTCACCACGCGACACGTTCCTTTGTCTGGCGCGTCCACGACTGGAAAAACGAACCACAGGAAAGACAGAAGGTTGGGAGTTGTGGCTGGTCGAGGCAACCTCCTCCGGTTGATTGGTTAGATCTAGGGGCCACGGAAACAACTCCAATCACATCAATAAAATTGACTTGGAAACGCAAATTCTCATGCATTTATCCCACTTTCGTGACATCCGCAGGTACTTCTTAGGCTCGTATGCAATATATAAATGCGATAAGAGACTAAACCTTTCGATAAAATAATATGGTTTGAGGGCTACTACGAAATTTTCAGTGTCACACAAGCGCTTGCTCCCTTGGTGCTTAAATCGGCTTCTTTAATACATGACAATATTCTTGCCACGTTTAGCGAGCGGATCGAAACTCTCGTGGAACGATATTGCACCATCTAAACCGTCCACAGTGCCTGTCCCACATGAGCACTCGTGTTGAAACAAGTGGCACTTGATTTCAAAATAATCAGTCACGTCTGATAAAATATCCATTTACACATGTCCTCGAAAAACTAATTATCTTCGAGATGAATGATTTTGAACCAACTCCTGATTTGGAAACGCCTCACCCAGCAAGTCATAGAGGAAACGCTGAACGCATGAGACATCCAACAAGAGTCCTCTTCGAAGCAGTATGCTGTGCTATCACCATCATCATCATCATCATCATTAAAACCTATTAATTACGGAATATGCAACTTTCCAGAAGTAATTAAAAAACTTACCTGTCCCCCTGTCAGAGCTCGTCTGATAACGACTCTCAACACTGTCACTTCCTTCAACAGCAGTGACGTCAGCAGTTTCGGATCGCAGGGAGGGTGGACTCAAGGATGTTGGGAGACAGTCCCCGTGCGAGATACCTCTTATCATTCGATCAATCGAAGCAGTCGGTGAAGACTGTTGTGAGCTAAAGTGGACGACAGTGTGCTGATAACGGTGGAAATTAATTGATTTGTTTGTTGTGCCTAGCAGACTCAAGGCACGCCATTTTGTTGAAATAACCACCCCAGCTGCGTAAACACGCCCCGCATAGCAGCTGTTGCTTGGTCGCGTAATGCAAGGTATTTGTGCAACTTAGAATCTTACTAGTTAAAGAATTTAGTATACCTCCAATAGCAGCTAATTTAGTCCTCCTGAGCCGAAGGCCTTATCTTCAGTGTCTAAACATCACTGTGTGAAAAGGACGTCTTCAGCTGGGGATTCCTACGGCGTCAGTCGCAAGGAGAATGGCGCACATCAGCTGGTAATTCGCCGCGCTAAGACGCAAATGTTTTAAGGATTTCGAGTAGTCAAACTTGGTGCCAAACATACTTTTGAATTAGACCTGGACTTTAAGTTGGTTTCTTAAAAGAGGTAAAGGATTGCTTAAACGACGATTTTATAAAAACATTATAGCGTAGTGAATCAATAGACGTCAGCATGAAATGCAAAAGCAGAGATTAATTCAATAATAACTATGGTCCGATCATCATTTTAGCTACATGATAGACCCTTTAAAAGTAATTAATCTAACCTCCTAAAAGTTGGATCTGGCTGAGATCCAAGGCTCTTCGACCGACGGGGTTGGATTGGCTCCTCTGCAAAAAAAATAAAGAGAAGTGCCCAAAAAAGTAAAAAGACACGCTTGGCAATCTGATGCACATAAATTATTAGGGCGTCAACGATACTCTTGTGCCTAATTTTACGAAAAAATTGTGTAATGTTAAAATGCCTTAGCCACTGCAACTGAGAACTCGCATGACCATTCACGCACAACTGCTCAGTGTTTACACATCGTCTTGACAAAAAATGTGCTAACACAACCCCCACTTTTGTGCAAAAACATCCCTCTGGTCAAAAAATCCACCTTGACAGAGCCTATCCTTCCAGCATTCTCAATAGCCTTTGGACACAACAGGGTTGAATGGCCCTGAAAACCAATTACGGGGGACTAGTTAAGCCTTGGCAGAGCCTTTGCCACAGTCAAAAGACGTAAACGTACTTAAAACAAATTATACCGCAACAGACGTCTATGGGGAAAATGCAAACTTACGGACAACTGACACATTGGCGTCCTTTCGTGGGATCTCCCAACGTGGACTACAATTATGCATTCTCACAGTTGTGGATACTGGACCCGGGGCGTTCCCAACTCCGTCGTCACTGGTGAGAGGAAGGAAATAGGCCTAAAAACAATCAAAAGCACCGACACGTCATTTGTTTACATGGCTAACTTGATGCAAATGGTCTTGGGATGGACTAAATAAGTCAGTGGTGTTTTATGTCAAATGCGTGTGTTGTCGGGAGGGGATCGGGAATGTGTAAAAAAACCCACGAACTTGAGGCGTTCGTCCAAAGTAATTTGAGCGAAACAAAGTTGCTCACTTTTAATTGATGTCCACACAAAAATGAAGACGTCTAAAGCCGCCATAACACCATTCGTATTTTTTTAAAAAAGAATTATTTTTGAGTACACTTAGAATGCAAAAGAGGAGACTTACGACTTGCATAACAAAAACGCAAGTTACGATAGCCTTGAAGTAAATCGAAGCAACCTTTTTTTAGATTGCCCAAGAAAGTGCAGTTTATTAGGACTATAAAGGGCCCTGAGTATAACAGCTAGCTTAGCAGGATTATATAAGTATTAACTGTTAAATTTAACGGACGATCAGCAATAATCCAACGAACAATGGTGAAAAAACTTTACTAATAATAAGGATGAAATTCGAAGTGAAAACTGAGTGAACAATGCCAGAAAACTAGCTGTGGCACTGCTAAATACAGAATTGAAGACTAATTACCTACATTAGTTCGTGTGACTCCTAAACTTAGGAACGTAAAAGTCAGAGGTCGCTCGCGGAAATAAAAACCGATCCAAGTAAATGCGTTTTAGTTGCAAAGTAAGCACATAAATGAATTAACCACATAGCGTTATGTCATGTTCCATAGCACAATGCACTTTCCGTTTTTCGAGTCGGAAGGCTTTTTAAGGGCAGGTCGCTATTAAATTTGCGTTTAAGGCATTTTTTTGCTGAAGGAGACTGAGGCCAGTCTAAAGTTACTAAAACCGAGGAAAGTAGACTTTATATGAAATATTTTGGGGACTTGTGTCACGTACGGTATCGCAGTGTCACGGGCACTTAATGAAATTTCAGTAGTTTGTGATGCTCTATACCCACAATAAATCGACAACAGAATCTTCCAATTTCCATGATTACATTTCGTATCTGCCTCGTCC